TACTTACAAGGTCTTAGAGGACTGCAGTGCGTGCTGATTTGTAAGGTTCTGCGAGGACGTGCCATCTGCGAGCTCAATAGCTCTTTGATATAAAAGCACTGCTCCACGTTCGTGGAGCAATTGTTAAGCGCACCTCCTGTTGCTGCGCTGGCATTTTCTCTAGATCGAGGTCACCTTTCGCTTCGAGATCGAATACGCAGTATCAGTTTTTATGACTGAACGTTTGTGGCGAAGGACTGCTCTTCTCCAAGTTTGTCGCTCCTATTGTTCGTGCCTAAGTGTAAGCCTTGACTGATCGGGCTCAACTCTGTTCACAAGCCTTGTTTTTGGATGGCAGCTCACTTAGCGTAGCCGCACCAAAGAGCTATCTTACTGAGCGTTTCAAAGAATTGAAATACGCAGGTGCTTTCTGTCGTGCCAGGTTGTAAGCAGTTTGAAACCCAGGCGGCCTGCGAACGGGCAAAAGGTACAAGCTTAATAGTAGACATTAACTCGGCACGGGTGCTGAAGAGTTTTCATGGTAGTGCGCGTCATTCGTTTGCTACACACATGCTGCATTTGTTTGGCTATGCATTGCATGTGGTAATATGTATAATGAATACTCTCAGGGATCGCCTTTTCTTACTAGCACGTACGTTTGGCGCGCATCAGCCGATGCTTTGTCTGGTATGTTGACACTGTGAATGTAGAATGTGAGGGGGCGTCGCCGACAGTGATTAATGTTCCGTAGCAGTTGCTTCAAAGGGCTGCATTCGTGTAGCATTTTCATTCTTATAATCACAAAGAAGTTTGTTGGTGGCTCCTTTATTTTTAAGGCAGGCACTCGGGATTAGTACCCTATTCGTTGTTAGAATAACCTCATTTGTGCCTGCGTACAGGCCTTTGCTAGGTTTTATGGATTGTTTTATGCACCATGTTTTTGAATATCAGCTAATACAACACACCTCTAGAGAAAATTCTGTGAGCGAATACTTCGCGGTTTTCGTTTGTATTTGCGAACCATGCAGAGATTGTGAGCTTTGTGTCCCAGGCGGTGAGCTTCCTAAATACAAGGAGCACAGAGGCGGTATCAGTGAAAAACTCAGGCCGAAGAGGACTGAAAAACTCAGGCCGAAGAGGACTCACTTTCTGTGCAAGGTTAAATATTGAAGTTGTGGTGAGCCATCGCGGGCATAGCTTATTGAACAGTTCGTGCAAAGGCTTGATTTGATTCATGTTTTAAAAATGAGCTTGTTTCACTGGTTATGCAAATGTCCGGTGCCTTCTTGGTGAGAATGAGTGATCATAATGTGCGTTTCCCTGTGCTGCGTGATGCATTGTAGGAGTTCTATTCATTTGTCTGAGCAAAGCGCGACAACGAACAGGTTATTTCACGAAGTGAACGCGAAAGTATTGGCTGTGACGTCTGCTCTACTGTTTTGTGGACAATAACATTTTCCAATCAGTGCAAAAACAATAGAGGCCTGGAAATCGCATGCCGAGCATGCCTCCAGGCTGTTTATTTCAGCTCTAGCAAATACAGAAGGTGGGTAAGATGAAAGCCAATCTGCAGGTTTGTTCGTTCTTGTCCTTCAACCCAAAATTGTGCAATCGTCAGACTGTAAGGGACGAGGATTATCTCTACCTGAGTAATAGGCCTCTGTTGGGTCATTTTCCTTGACTGAGGCGCCGCTGCTGAATAGTTGGCAAGTACGCTTCCCAGCGTTGCATTAGGTGCACAAGTATAATTGATGTAAATGCGACGTCTACAGCCGATACTCGAGTGCTTGCTTTTCAACATCACAAACGAGTGATGCAAGAAGCTTCTTTACCCATGAAGAAGTCAAAATAAGGACATGCCGATATGTGATAAGCGTAAAGGAACATTTCAGATTCAAGGATAACTGATTATGAAATGCCTTGAAAACGTTTTGGAAGATCACTTATGGCGTAATGCGCATTTAGGCTGTAAGCATCTTGTGCTGCAGTGGAGTCAAAGGCAAAGTAGCGTCTTTGCTTCAGAAGAGGGCCAAGCTGCGGTTAGGGATTGGCTTAGCGTTTTAGGTGCTGATTCGGCTCTACACTAGAATGACCTAATGGAAGGAACGATTACTGCATTCCAGAGCAAGGAAATGCATTGTGCTGTTGTGCATTTTGCTGTTGCGGTGACCAGATAAAATTTAAATTTTGCTGAAATGTGTCAAGGCAGTTGCTCTTTGCTGCTATGGAATGGGCAGCACTTGCACAAAGACGCCGATAACTGGTAAGATGCATATCTTCTGAATCGCGTGCTTGCTTCTTTGTTGAATACTGGGACCACGATCGTTTGACGTATTACGCAGTCCGCTTAGTGAACTGAATACAGCTGCAGTAGTTAGTAGCTATTGAAGAATTTTGCAGTAGCCGTGTGGTTTATTTGTGCTGCACCTGCTCGTCGTGTGATCCGCAGCTATACTGAACAGATGGAGAAGGTGAGTCGCGCTTTGCACAGGCCTGGGAAACTCGCAGGTGTAGTTGTAGGCATGCAGTGCCTTTCAGTTGCAAGATGAAAGTCCTGCGATTGCCGAATTGAAGCATATTAGTGTGACCATTGGTTTGGGTTCCGTTTCGACATTTTGCCTGGTACCAAGTCGGCTTCCGTCCAGAAGGTGCAACAACAGCTGGGTATGGTAATGGGGCATGGTATGCAGGCTTATACGTTTGTATGGTGTGCAGTGTGGTAAACGTGACACTTCGGTAGAATACTGTGATCTGGAATCCGCCACAGAAACAGTGATCTACAACGCTTGCTTTGCTTTCCTTTATGTGCAGTGACTCGGCCTTCAGGTGTGAATGCAGTGCACGCATGGAAATAGGGGGAAATGCTGCATGTTTAGCGACAGCGTTTTGGAAACCAGTAGAAATTTTAACGTTGCTTTCACGGAATGGAGCAGCACCAACAAACCTGCCACCGTTCCCGCATCAACAGATGCACGTCTCACACACCGCACCTGGCAGTGAAATTAGTGAAGGGGTGCTTAAAGCTGGAGCTGAAACTATAACTGAATACAGGGCTACGGCGACAATATGCATCCATTGAGGAAACGTAACTCCATTAGTCTGCAACATTATGGCGTTGCTATCATGTTTTCTGCTGACTTTTGGTTTCCAGCGTCTCATGCTGGAGAGGAAATCTCAAAGGGGACAGATTGAGATTCTGAGCAGCCTCCCGCAAGAGTGTCCCATATGCAGTTTAATTCTACTGCCGCACTGAAAATGCCGATGTTTTATTGGTCAGCTTGCTGTTTGTCGCTGCGACATTGCGCAGTGATTCGACGATCTACGAGTTGCTTGTTTCTCTCACAGCCCTATGTGATGCCTGCCATGACTGCGCTTTCTGGCACGCAGAAGACAATGCTCTGGACACACATGGAGTACCAGAATGGCTATGCGGACGGCGCGGCCGGTAGGCGTTTGACTGGTTATGGTCATCTGCGTGTGGAGTTCCAAGAGGCGTTTCGATGCCGAACAGGTCGTACGCCATTTAGCGAGACAGTGGAACAATTAAACAGCGTATCGCATACTGCCAATCCGACGTTCGTGTGTCATGTGTACATTCATAGTGCATGCTTGTTACGTTGCTTGTTTTTGCATGAACCGCACGCGAATTTTCGACGGGATCTGGATGAGCTGCTCACGCAGTTGGGCGCTTTAGGTTTTACTTGGCATGCAGCATTTTTGTACGATTAGTTTTTCGACTCACCGAGCATCTTTGACAGTTTGACGGCGTGGCGCCTGAACGTGATTGGCTGTACATTGCTTTGCTGGCCCGAAAATAACTCACGATTTGAGGTGCCCTGGGGCAGCAGAACGCCATTGTGAAATGTGTAACAGGTGGGTGTCTGGCTGATTATGGACATCTGTGCGTGAGTGCTAGGCGGCTCTTCGATGCCGAGCAGATGGTGCGAACTCCAATGAGGTAGCTAACGCATTGAACAGTATCACAAGCTGCCACTTTCACCTTCTGTGTATCATGTGTACGCTATAGGCAGATGCCTGCGAAGTTGTTTGCTCTTGCGTCAACAGCACGGGAATATTTGGTGAGCTCTTGATGAGCTGCTCAAGCGGTGGGCCGCTTTAGATTTTACATTGCTCTCGCGTGGTTTGTGCCACTAGCTTTTTGCCGCGCAGATCATGCGTGACAGCTTAACACCGTGATTCCGTGATACCAGAGAATAATTGGTCGTGCTTGGCGTCGCACGTGCAGGTCAACGACGTTGCGCGGTTTGAAACGTGGCAACATGCAACTTTGGTGATCGACTGCAAGTGCGTATAGAACACCCATCACAATGGCAGATGGGCGGAAAATGGACTTTGAAGCTGTGTTGAGGCAGTGAATCCTTGTTAGACGTCTGCAGGCATTTGCGATGCGGCTTAGCGTTTCGATTCGGTGCGAAAGTTTTTGTATCCACATGTGTATATATCTGTGCTGTGTGTGTCTTACTGAAACACAAAATATTTTGAGTTTTCTGTCGAACATTGAATGCAGTGCATGCTCAAGCAAGTTCTGATGCTTTGGTGCTGCTTCAAAATGGGAAAATGCTCTTTAGTAGCTTCATAGGTTTGTTCTGGTCTCCCCACCTGAAGTGGTGAACGACTATGTTTTGCCCACAGAGAAAACTTCATGTGCTTCAACTATGGTTGCTCATTGCGTATTCAGATGCGTTTTTCAGTACTTCTCTGCCGCGTTGAGCTTTTTCTATATTTGTCGAATTTGCGGAGGCTGTCGCTCTGTTTAACTGTACCTAGGGTCCGTGGAATCTCCCTAATTCATGTCGGAGGATTTCATTCGCATTGATGATGCCTTGCTAAAAGTTCCAGTGGAGTCACACTCTACTCGCCTGCACTTGGACTCTTGCAGAGCTTGCTTTTGGAACTGAATGCGCCGTCGGCTCGTTAACTTTTGCGACCACACAAAAGTTGGCATGCAGCGGGCTTTCACTAGCTGGCTCGTTAGTTCGAGGGATGTGCTGTAAATATCAAACGTCGGGAAAGCGATTCAATCAGCAGCCAATAGTGCTGTTTTGTGCAGTTGTTACGTTGTTCTTTGGCAGTTCGTTGGCATGGTGCTGAGAGCTAGCAGGACGTTGGCGAATCTGGCATGGAAAATTGCACCCGTTCGTTTTTTTTTGTGGGCTGCTCCAGATATGGTATTCAAGAACGTTTTGCAGCTCAAAGGTTTGTGGGGATATTTTGTCTGGCAAGTGCGTGTTGTACGGCGTATGGGGCTCTTTGTTGTACTGTACGCGATGACTATCTCTGTGAAGATTCCATGCAGTTTTTCTTGCGGTGAACAGACGGTAGGCATTTCATGGGCCTTCAACTTATGAACGCGCTAGGGTTCATGCTTTGTTCTACATTCCTGCTGCACATTATTGTTACACAGGACTAGCTTGGGTGTTGTCCTTGTGGCTAGCATTGGCGCGTGATAGAGTACCGGCCTTGTTAGGAAGTGTGCACTTCGGGACATGGTGTTGAACTGTATTTAACTGCTTCATTCTTCCCGAACATTTTTTATGGACTCCAGACTGTACGGATGTGTTGGAATTTGCGTTTTTTTCTCGTCGCTTTGCAGCTTTTTGCTGAAACACATTTTGTTAGATGCTTCTAAACCACACACGCTGCAGGTCTGAGCAGAATGGAAAAGCACGGGCTCATGAACGCGAATTTTGGGCTATTTGAGGGACACTCCATGCTTTTCGTACAAATAAAGAAAATTACTAGCGTTGGCCATGTTGCTGGAACATTGCAGAAAATGTGCTTTTACCATAGAAGACAACGCACTATCAAGCTACGAGGTGGAAGACAAAAATGCTCTCATATGGGCATGCTGCTGTACAACAGGAAAAAGCGCCTACTGCTTCGCTCAACAGATAAGTACTTTACTTCGTGGATGCGTCCTGATGCCCCAGTCTCGTGTAGCAAACGATTTAATGTCGCCTCCAAAAACGCTCAATCTGTTTCTCGGTGGAGGCTCGCTTTGTCGCCCAAAAAAATGCCTAGTCTGTTTGTCGGCGAATGCTCGTTTTGTATTTGGATTCACATTATTCTTTTGCCGCGTTGCGTTTCTTTTAAAGAAGGGGACCTCCACGAGCGGCTGCTCTCAGGTGCTGTCGAATTTTGCACAGACATTAGTCAAATATTCGGAAGGCTTTCATTCGTGTTAATTTTGTCTTGGTAAGTGCTCCAGTGGAGTCACACTCTACGCACTTGCACTTGGGCTCTCGCAGAGCTTGCTTTTGGAACTGAATGCGCCGTCGGCTCGTTAACTTTCGCGACCAAACAAAAGTTGGCATGCAGCGGGCTTTCACTAGCTGGCTCGTTAGTTCGAGGGATGTGCTGTGAATATCAAAAGTCGGGAAGACGATTCAATCAGCAACCAATATGTGCTGTTTTGTGCAGTTGTCCCGTTGTTCTTTGGCAGTTCGTTGGCATGGTGCTGAGAGCTAGCAGGCCGTTGGCGAATCTGGCATGGAAAATTGCACCCGTTCGTCTTTTTTGTGGGCTGCTCCAGAGGTGGTATTCAAGGATGTTTTTCAGCTCAAAGGTTTGTGAGGATAGTTTGTCTGGCAAGTGGGTTTGGTACGGAGTATGGGGTCCTTTGTTGCACTGTACTTCATGATTATCTCTGTGAAGAGTCCATGTGCTTTTTTGCGGTGAACAGCCAGTAGGCATCTCATGTGCCTTCGAAAATCTTTGCGCGTGGGGCTCATACTCTCTCCTACTTGCCTGCTGCACTTTGTTTTTACTAAGGACTAGCTTTAGTGTTGTATTCATTGCTATGGCATTGGCGCGTGACAGATCGCCGGTCTTGTTAGGAAGTGTGAGCTTCAACACTTGCTTCTGGTGTGCTTGTGGAGTCCTTTTCGTCTCAAATCCCGAATTGTTGACGTAAGAAAGTACGCAGCAAACTTGCACTATAGTTTTTTTTTCATGGTGAAAATTAAGCGCATTCCAGGAATTATATGTGGACTTCCCTGGTCAAACCATTACAGTGCGTAGTGTGAACACGCCAAGATGTCACACAGAATAGACCCGTGCCTATATAATAGACATGCGGATCTAGGAGTACTTTGCCTTAGGGGATTTTGAGCGCGCTTTGGCTCTCCTGAATGCTGTCAAGGCTTTTGCAATATTTTCTACTAACTGATATGTGAGGGTGGTCTTTCCGTATTGCGTTCTTCATTGCTAATCAGGCGGCAACAAAACGACTTGTAGTGATGATGGCATGATGTGTCGTTGTTTGGCAAAAAGTATGTCCTGGTGCTCAAATTCAATACGAAAAATCATGTGGGCGGGTAATTTGCCGAAACGCTCAGGCGCTACGGCGACTCAGCAAGAAAACAGAGCGACTGACGGCAGGTAAGCGTTTCCCAGTTCTAAATCATCAGATGGTGCGATTTTAGGACCACAGATGAACCCCGGATTATTTCAGGGACAGGCCTGACTGAAGTACACGACCTTTGATCACCTGCTGGACCCTGCATTCACAATTTTGCGGCTTCCTAACCCATGGAGTATCACACTATGGGTTTTCT